TTGAATAATAGCATAGATTTATCCTTAAAAATGAGTCATTTTACGCATGGACTTGGAGACCCATATGTTCAGCCCATATCCCAAAGTAACTTTAGGACAAAACATAAATGGGTGCACGACCAATTCTCCCACATGGATGTATGTTCAATGGCCTTAAAACCATTTCCTACTGTTTATTTTCCTCTGCAGCAACTGGTTGTCTCTAGCACATCGTTTCCTCTTGATAACTCTGGGAAAAATAGAACGACTAATAGCTTTGAAAAACCGCGCACACAAGTCTGACCATCTAGGCAATATCGTATGTATCCATTGCGTCATTAGCATACTCAGCAGGAATTTCCAAGCAACAACAAAGCACCTGCATATGTTTTGGTGTACCTGTTTGGGGTTTGATTTTCTGCTTGGCTTTTGGCCATATTCTTTCGCTACTCTTTTGAAACTTTGAAATCAAATTGCAGTTTGCACATAGTCTTTTACTAAGACGAAAAATTGTTGGCATAATGTTATAAATGCAATCCAGAATATTGGAAATGAACCGAGTTTCAACTAATGTGTTTATCGTCTTTGTTTCTCAGCCGGTGGCATTTTGTTGGTGTTTTTTTTCGGAGAGCGCACACCAAAGGCAACTATACAAACACAACCAAAGCATTCATACAAATTGCTGATGCTCGATGAAGTTGAGATAATTTATGACCATGGAAAAAGTCTTGTGCAGAATGGTACTTTGAGAGAATTTGCTGAAAATAGTGTCATTGCTGAATAATCTACGTGTAGGTTTAGACTCATACCAAATGAGTTTCATTATTCTAATCGAAATCGTAGCCTACTCTTCGCCCTTTCTCTCATTTCCAGCTAATATCTTCACCAAAGGCCTTCCCGTACCATCGTATCACATTAAAAGTTAAGATATAATGTTTGTTACAATGAAACTTTAGCTCCAATAATTGTGAACTAAAGAGTAATTTCAAATCGTGTTGTAGTTGAATTTTAGTATTTGTCTAAAATTTTATCGAATGATTGTGAATCAAGCCATGCTAGGTAAAATGAATTTTTTTCTTAATAGTATGATAGTATCCCGTCGGTTGTTACTAATGTTCAAAATGTTTGTTACTATCATACTTTTTGTTATACATAACAAATTCAGGTAATACCATTGTAACAAAATACTAATATTATTTATTCATCAACACTATATTTTTGCAATGTAATATATAACTTGATTCTCTAATTTCTTAATATTTGTGATATTACAATTTTTGCATCGCACGTTGTTATAAATTTTCCAATATATTCATGTACATTAGATTAGTATTCATATAGCTAAATATAAACAATTACAAGTTATATATTACTCACATATTTTTTAATAAAATAATTTTTTAACCAAATTGGGAGTATTCTTAGCTTATATATAAATAAAGAATATTAAATAAACTATTTATATTTAGTATTAGTTTAATGCAATGCAGATAAAATGAATATAAGTAAGACATTTTCTATAAGTATTTTCATTACATGTTATACATGTAAAAAGGCATATAAATTGAAAAATAAATTTATATTTTAATGGCTTGTAGAAGTTTATCTATATCAATATACATAGTGTGTGGTGGGTAATTAATCATAGATATGTTATGGAATAAGTAAATAGGACACGATATAGCTTCAATTTTTTTAAGACACTACCATCTTTTAAATTTATCCTAAATCTATCAAAATTGAAAAGATTACCTTTATAGAAATATGTTCAAGTATCCCACATCGAATTCAAATAGAAAGTGAGTAATTCCTATTATGTATAAATAATTATTACTGCTAGTACTTTATCCCCATCAGAAGTCATTCGAATTCCACCGCCTTCAAATGAATATAAATTAGAACTCAACTATTGTGCAGAATTAAGAATAGCCATAAAACAATAATAATAATAATAATAATAATAATAATAATAATAATAGTAGTTATAGTAGTAATAATAAGAGTCCCTCGAAATCCTTATTAAGAGTTGAGTCGCTTTTCAATATTGTCAAAATTTATCCGATCAAGAGTGGCAAAATTGATCCGATCAAGAGTGGTAACTACAGATACCAGGTAATTAAAAGTTTATCTTCAACTACAATGCATAAACTGAGTATTAATATACTCAATTATGTGCTTATGTGCTAAGGTTTTAGATTGAGTATTAATATACTCAATTATGTGCTTATGTGCTAAGGTTTTAGATTGACATACTCAATTATGTGCTAAGGTTTTAGATTGACATACTCAATTATGTGTCTAAGTGAATAGTGATTTTTCGTGAAATTAATATTAATGTGTAGTTATGTTGTTAATTAGTGTTTATATGTAAAATAATATTAATGTATATTTATGTTGAGATTTGATATTTGTCCTTGTTATTTGGCATAACATATATTTCATGAGCATGTGCATGCATATGTCATAATTAAATACTATTTCGCATGCACGACATAATAAGGAAAAAAAAGAGCATTTTATTATTTGGCCGCTGCTTGTGTACCAAGGTCACGAGCGGCGTGAGACATTTCCTCGGGCGTGTGAGACGGTTGGGGCGTGACTTATTATTATGTATTGCTCAGTGCACCGTGAGACATTGCTTCTGGCGTGTGAGACGGATCGGGCTGAGCCATTCCAGAGCCGCGTGAGACATTGCTTCGGGCATGTGAGACAGTTCGGGCTGGAATGTTATGATTATTATGTTATATTGAGCTCTTTCCGGTGCACAGTAGTTAGGTCAAGAGCCCGAGAAAGAAAGTTTTCGAGAATAAAATTATAAAAGCATACGCCTATAAACGAGCATTTGCATTTCATGTTGAAATGCATATCAGTTGGTGATGTTATTTCTTGACATGCCTGACTTTTACTTATTGAGCCCTAGCTCATGTAGTTTATGCATTGTAGGTAAATATGTTGACCGTTAATTTCTAGTGGCTGGAGTTGTTGAATCCAAGGGGCTTTTAGGGCATGTACATGAACGCAGACCTGCAGGGACATCAAGTGGACCTGCGCCCTTTGTATAGTCTTGATCCTTTTAACAACGTTGGATATTGTATAAACTGTTATAAACTCCCTTTGGATTCCTTTTGGGAAGATGTAAACGAATATATTTTGGTGTTATAATATAATATTTTGATTATGTAAAAAAATAAGCCTTGGTTCTTAATACGTTATTTTACAAAGAAATGTGACTCGTATTTCAAAATATAAGAACATTTTAGTAGTAGAAGAGCAGTCGTGACAGAGTGGTATCAGAGCCCAGGCTGCAGGTCCTGTAGATTGTTTATGTACATGACTCAAGGTCTGTGGAGTACAACAGTGACGGTAAGTTTTTGTTATTATGTGTATTACTTGTCTTATACATGTTATTGGCCATGTAGTATAACTATGACGAGAACTGGAAACGAAGGTAGTGGTGGTACTAATAGAAGAGAAAGTGCAGCAACCTCTAATTCTAGGGATAGTCGTGATGCTATTATTGAACGACTGACCGAATTGATAGAACATCAATCCCAACAGATGGAGATAAAAATAAACCTCCCGTAAATGTCGGAAACCAATATTACCCCAGGCACGACAGATGGAGATCGTTGGAGAGAGATTCCAAAAATTGAGCCCGCCAGTATTTGAGGATGCTGCAGACCCAGTAGAGGCTGAAGATTGGCTGAGAACAGTAGAAAACTTGTTCCAATTTAGTAGAGTTTCCGGGGAAGAAAAAGTTTTATGTGCCTCTTTCATGTTACGCGGTAGTGCTGGACATTGGTGGGACACAGTCAAGTGCATCAAAGATGTGACTACCATGACTTGGGGCCGATTCAAAGAACTTTTCAGAAGCAAATATTTTACAGCCCCCATACGCGCACTGAACATGAATGAGTTTATACAATTGAAGCAGGGCAACATGATCGTCGCACACTATATCCACAAGTTCGAGCAACTCTCAAGGTTTGCCGAACATATAGTTAGCACAGACACCTTAAAGACAAAGAGATTTCTTGAGGGTCTGAAACCAGAACTCTATAGAGATGTTTGCATGGCTGACATTCAGAGATCAAATTACTCACAAGTTGTCGAGCGAGCACTAATTGCTGAACAAGCTGAACAAAAGATAAGAAAAGCACAGGAGATGAGACGTAAAACTTACGCAGAGCCAGAGGCCACGATGGACTGGAAATGAGAAGAAAAGGCCAACACAATTTCAAAACCAGAAGCCTATATTTCAACAACAACAAAGGCAAGAGCAAGCGGGTACGAGCAAGCGTGTTAGATACGAACAAGAAAAAGTGCCAGCATTGCCTACCACTTGTCTTAAGTGTGGAAAACAACATGGGGGAGAATGTTTAAGTGGGAAAGGAATATGCTTTGCATGTAAACAACCAGGTCATATGGCGAGTATGTGCCCCAACCGCCCAATAAGGAATCGTCAGGAAGGAGCACCGGCTAGATTGTTCACCATGACTCGTGAAGAAGCTGAGGCGAATCCAGAGGTGGTCACAGGTAACATCTTGATCTATGGAGTTCCTACTTTTGCATTATTCGATTCTGGAGCCACGCATTCATTTGCATCCACTAAGTATGTAAAGAAGTTAGGTAAACTACCTGATAAAACAGACATAAGTTACAATGTTGTAATACCATCTGGAGAGACAAAGCAAACTGACCAAATTATACGAGCCTGTAGTGTCTCTATTGAAGGGAGAGAACTGTATGTTGATATGATCATAATAGACATGAATGACTATGACGTAATATTGGGCATGGATTGGCTATCGAAGTATAATGCCACAATTGATTGCCGGAGAAAGATAGTATCATTCCAACCACCTGGTGATGAACCATTCTCTTTTATCGGGGTTAGTAAAAGTATGAGATTCCCAGTAATATCAGCATTGAAGGCACAACGACTATTAAATAGTGGTTGCATGGGCTATCTCATAAGCGTAATGACTATAGAGAAAAAGGAAAGTCCAAATATTAATGCAGTGCCAATAGTCAAAAAATATCCTGAAGTATTCCCCGAAGATCTCCCAGGACTACCCCCAAATCGCGAGATAGAATTTGTAATTGATATACAGCCAGGAACGACTCCAATTTCCAAATCACCATATAGAATGGCACCTGCTGAATTGAAGGAGTTAGTGCAACTACAAGAATTGTTGGATAAAGGATTTATCAGACCGAGTTTCTCACCTTGGGGAGCACCTGTTTTGTTTGTCCGTAAGAAGGATGGCACGTTAAGAATGTGTATTGATTACCGAGAGCTTAATAAAGTTACAATTAAGAATAAATATCCTTTACTAAGGATTTATGATCTGTTCGATCAACTCCAAGGTGCGACTGTATTTTCAAAGATTGATTTGCGCTCAGGATATCATCAACTTAAGATAAAAGAAGAAGACATCCCTAACACGACCTTTAGCACGAGGTACGGTCATTACGAATTTCTGGTAATGCCATTTGGCTTAACGAATGCCCATGCTGCTTTCATAGATTTGATGAACAGGGTTTTTAAGGATTTCTTAGATAAATTTGTAATTGTATTTATCGACGATATCCTTATATACTCTAAAACAAAAGAAGAAAATACTGAACATCTAAGAAGAGTTCTCGTGGTGCTGAAAGAAAATAAATTATATGCAAAATTTAAGAAGTGTGAGTTCTAGTTGGATCGAGTATTATTCCTTGGACACGTTATTTTTGGAGAAGGGATCTCAGTTGACCCGAGTAAAGTAGAAGCTGCTGAACAATGGCCCCGACCAACTAATCCTTCGGAGGTACGAAGTTTTCTTGGACTGGCAGGGTACTATCGAAGATTTGTGGAAGGATTCTCTAAAATTACCTCACCTTTGACACAATGGACAAGAAAGAACATAAGTTTTAAATGGATAGAGGCTTGTGAGCAGAGCTTTCAAGAACTCAAAAGCAGATTAACCTCAGCACCAGTGTTATCAATACCGTCAGGTAATGGAGGATTTGGTGTATACAGTGACGCATCAAAGAATGGCTTGGGTTGTGTACTCATGCAAAATGGCAGAGTAATAGCATATGCTTCCAGACAGCTGAAGGGTTATGAATAGAACTACCCTACACATGATTTGGAGCTTGCCGCAGTTGTCTTTGTGCTTAAAATCTGGAGACATTATTTGTACGGAGAAAGGTGTGAAATTTTCACCGATCACAAGAGTTTGAAATGGCAGAGTTGTATACAGTGACGCATCAAAGAATGGCTTGGGTTGTGTACTCATGCAAAATGGCAGAATAATAGCATATGCTTCCAGACCGCTGAAGGGTTATGAAAAGAACTACCCTACACATGATTTAGAGCTTGCCGCAGTTGTCTTTGTGCTTAAAATTTGGAGACATTATTTGTACGGAGAAAGGTGTGAAATTTTCACCGATCACAAGAGTTTGAAATATTTCTTTACACAGAAGGAACTGAACATGAGACATCGAAGATGGTTGGAGCTGGTCAAAGATTATGATTGTGTTATTAACTATCAAGCTGGAAAGGCGAACGTCGTAGCAGACGCCTTGAGCAGAAAGTCAATACAACAGAATGCAATAACAGTTTTCGCACAACAACAAGAACTACTTGATTTACATAAAATGGATACTGATATCATTAAAAGAGGATCATTGGAAGTAAAGTTAGCATCTCTAACCCTCCGTCCCTCCTTAATTGAAAGAATACAACATGAGCAACTCAATGATGAATATCTGGCAAAAGTAAAGAAAGATCTTGCGGCAGGAATTTCATCCGAGTTTCAACTATCTAAAGATGGTACACTTAGATTCAAAGGTCGATTATGTGTACCAAACAATGGGGACATCCGTAACGACATTATGAAAGAAGCCCATTCAACACCCTACTCGGTACACCCTGGATCCACAAAATGTACAGAGACTTGAAAAAGTATTACCAGTGGCCAGGGATGAAGAAAGATGTAGCCCAGTTTGTCGAACAAAGTCTAAGTTGCCAACAGATAAAGGCTGAACATCAACGACCAGCGGGGACTTTGCAACCTTTATTCGTACCAGAATGGAAATGGGAACACGTCACCATGGATTTTGTGGTCGGACTACCCAAGACACTCAAAGGATATGATGCTATCTGGGTTATTGTAGATAGATTGACCAAATCTGCTCACTTCTTGCCTGTATGTACTACATACTCAATGGATCGTTATGCTGAAGTTTATATACATGAGATAGTAAGACTTCATGGTGTGCCAGTATCTATCGTCTCAGACAGGGATTCCAGATTCTTATCTATTTTCTGGAAGAGTTTACATAAATCTTTGGGAACAAAATTATCCTTCAGTACGGCGTACCACCCACAGAGTGACGGACAATCTGAACGAACCATTCAGACACTAGAAGATATGCTTAGAGCATGTGTATTGGATTTCCAAGGACAATGGAGTAAATTTCTACCATTAGTAGAGTTCTCCTATAATAACAGTTACCAGTCTACAATAGGAATGGCACCTTATGAAGCATTATATGGGAGAAAATGTCGATCCCCAATACATTGGGATGAAGTTGGCGAAAGAAAGCTCCTAGGACCCGACATGATTCGAGAGATGACTGAAGCCATTTCACAAATCCGGAAGAGGATGAAAATGGCTCAAGATTGCCGTTAAAGCTATGCTGATAAAAGAAGAAGACCATTGGAGTTCTCTGTAAGTGATCAAGTATTTATCAAAGTAACTCCTATGAAAGGCGTGATACGATTCGAGAAGAAAGGAAAGTAGAACCCGAGATACATTGGCCCATTCCGAGTCGCAGAAACAATTGGCGAAGTTGCGTATAGATTGGAACTGCCCAGCTGGATGTCGCAAATACATGATGTTTTTCACGTCTCCGTTCTTAAAAAGTATATACCAAATCCATCTCACATTTTAATAAGAGAGCCAAAAGAACTTAAGGTTAACTTGAATTACGAAGAGATACCGATGGAAATACTCCAACGAGAAGTAAAACAGCTTCGGAACAAGGAAATTCCGTTAGTAAAAGTGTTATGGAGAAATCAATCAATTGAAGAGGCAACCTGGGAACGAGAAGATGAAATGAGAGTGAAATATCCAGAACTCTTCAGGTAAGTAAAATTTTGAGGACAAAATTTTTATAAGGAGGGGAGGATGTGATACCCGAACCTTGCATAACAAAGTGAAAAGCTTAAATCAAGCATTTAAAATTATTATATACATTATCAGTAAATTGTTGAGTTTATTATGGTACTAAATAAACTAATTGACTTAATAAGGGTGAAGAATAATTAGGATTTATTACAAGTTAACAAAAGTTATAATCCTAATATACATCTTATCCTCTATGGTTATATATGTATACTTACGTGTAATATTAATATATATATATATATATGTATATATATATATTCTAGTTAAAGTTATGCATAAGTATTCTTAGCTTATATATAAATAAAGAATATTAAATAAACTATTTATTTAGTATTAGTTTAATGCAATGCAGATAAAATGAATATAAGTAAGGCATTTTCTATAAGTATTTTCATTACATGTTATACATGCATATAAGGCATATAATTTGAAAAATATATTTATATTATATTGGCTAGTAGAAGTTTATCAATATCAATATACATAGTGTGTGGTGGGTAATTAATTATAGATATGTTATGGAATAAGTAAATAGAACACCATATAGCTTCAAATTTTGACCACAGTACCATCTTTTAAATTCATCCTAAATCTATCAACATTGAAAAGATTACCTTTAATGAAATATGTTCAGGTATCCCACATCGAATTCATATGGAAAGTGAGTAATTCCTATTGTGTATAAATAATTATTATTGCTAGTACTTTGTCCCACATTGGAAGTCATTCGAATTCCACCGCCTTCAAATTAATATATATCAGAAGTCAACTATTGTGCAGAATTAAGAATGGCCATAACAAAATAATAATAATAATAATACTAATACTAATGATAATAATACTAGTGTTATACCACAAATACTTGAACTGCTGGACCGCTCCTCTCTAATTGGGTTGCGTCTCCTCGATTGTCGTACCTGCAAAGTACGCCGGGGTGGTCCCGACACGAACACTCCGACACCTGCAAAGTACGCCGGGGGTGGTCCCGACACGAACACTCCGACGCTCAAGTCAGTGACGGTCTAGAGAGAAAACAGCAGAGTAACGAGATAGCTCGTGTATGTGTGTTGTCTAAAATGAATGAACCTGCTCCCTTTTATAGGAGAAGTCTGGAGAGTCCTCATGAGACAAGAAGTCTTCCTCATGTATATCTCTTAATTAGGTCAAAAGATTATGAATCCATAGAGTCCTTAAAGTTGTGACCTCTTTATGACTTTAGTACACAAGGGTGCCGCGCACTTGGACTGCCGCGCACTTGGGGTGCCGTGCACTTGAGGGTGCCGCGCACTTGGACTGCTGTGCACACGAGGTTGTCGAGCACTTGAGGACATCGAACACACGAGGGTGCCGCGCACTTGAGAGTGCAGCGCACTTGAGGGTGCAACTAAGAAAGCTCGTACCAGGACCTCACTCCGCGCGCAGTTGGAGTGTCGCGCACTTGGGGTGCCGCGCACTTGAGGGTGCCGCGCACTTGGAGTGCCGCGCACACGAGGTTGTCGCGCACTTGAGGACACCGAGCACACGAGGGTGCCACACACTTGGGGGTGTCGCGCACTTGAGGGTGTCGTGCACTTGGGGGTGCCGCGCACTTGAAAGTGTCGCGCACACGAGGGTGACGCGCACTTGAGGGTGCCGCGCACTTGGGGTTCCGCGCACTTGAGGGTGCCACGGGTGCGCACGCACACGAGGGTGCCGCGCGCTTGAGGGTACCGCGCACTTGAGGGTGCCACGCACTTGGGGGTAGCATAATAACACTGTGGAGTTAGATAGAGTACCCAGCTGCCTAACTGCCCAGGTGCTTAGTCGGTCCTCCACATATGACAATGATGACTAGATCACAACCGGTTCGTCACGGGCTACTACTAACAACAACATCAACTAGTTATAGTAGTAATAATAAGGGTCCCTCGAAATCCTTATTAAGAGTTGAGTCACTTTTCAATATTGTCAAAATTGATCCGATCAGGACTAGTAACTACAGATACCAGGTAAGTAAAAGTTCATCTTCAACTACAATGCATAAACTGAGTATTAATATACTCAATAGAAAAATGATACAAGTACATAATAAATGTACATAGAGGTGTATATATGTAACACCCCACTTGGATTTTACAGAAATTCCGGACATTCTAAAAATCAAAACAAATTTTTCGAATTTATTTTCGAAATCAAGGGCATTAAACTAACACAATTTACTTAGTCCAAGTCTTATCTGGACTCACGGGGATTCATAAACCCGATTTTTCACAAGGTTTTTATTAACCTGATTTACACCTCAACATAATCTCCAATATGAACAATTGAAACTTCATAAATCAAACACCATGATTATTCAAGGTTCATAAAAAAAGGTTTTCCAAAATATTCCCAAACATCAAAACATAGTTCGAAGACAGTTTTCACATGTCCAAAACATAGAAAGGTTCATAACGACCATATTATTAAAGCAGAAGAAAAATGAAACAAATAATAGACCACCACTCGTCCTTTGTCCCGTCACCCGGCCACTGCTTAACCTGCATCCGTGAAGAGCAGGTGGGAATGAACATAAATGATAAAGTAATGCTCACTACTATACACATAATAACATGTAAAGATGGTATGGTCGCAACATGAATATAAATCAATCATCATCATGTCTCATCTCTTAACAATCACAACAATAACTCACTCATGTGCACATCTATCATTAGCCGCAGAAAGGGGATGCATAAACCCTAACGACGGGAGTGCGTGCCACTGTAACGAACACGGCCTTTCATTAGGTCTTAAGGAGACTTGCCTCGCAAGGGCAACCGTACCGTAACTCGACGGCCATAACAGCTCACATCAGTAGGCCACATGGTTCACATTCATACATTGGTCATACTAACTAAACATTAAACAACACTTATGGCATAGACAATTTTAGATTAGAACCCACCTGGATACCGAGATGTAGCCAAACACAGAGTTGAAGGAACAATGGCAAAAGTTCAGCTCGATGAACCTACAACAATTATAATAGCCTATCAACTGACTATCCAAACCAAGACAACACACAAAGCACATATATTTAGTCGAAATCATATCGACAAAGTGACTCGTGGATTCAATGACCGAGTTAAGTACTTTGGAGCGACTACTGGACCTGAAAAAAACTCATATACCTCAGATAAAACACATTAATCATGCCAACATCAATAAAATCCAATCTGAACCTAAACAACGGATAACCGAGCATTAAGACTCCAAAATAAACAAAATTCAGAATCCAGAGTTAGACTCAATCAATCAACCTGAAACTTTACCACATTGCAAGGCATATAATAACACATAATCTCACCAAGTTTCAGCCCTAAATTCATCTGGGAGCATTTTTAAATAATTTAAGCAAAACAGTGCCAAAATCCGACGTTTAATAGTTCATATAGCTACACTTCGAATTTTAATTCAACATTTTGACATATCACAGAATATAAGAAAATAACATATTTCTCAAAGTTTCAGCGGAAAACTACAAGTGTACAATTTTTAAAGAATTTTACAAAATTTTGACTAGAAATCGATTTAATAAATTAAAATAGCTACAGAAGGAGTTTCGACTTGAAAATTTTACACCACTTACAAACACATAATGGGACATCACATATAAAAGTTCACGGCATTCGGACAATCACACGATTTATTATGAATTAATAACCATTCAGCAGCATGCTCGGTTTAGAAAATTCATAACTCATGATATACATATCGAAACGACCTCAAACCAAAACCAATGAACCACGGGCAACTCCAAGTACTTATAACACAAGGATTTCCACGAAAAATACCACTCGAAACTCAGTTCGATAACAACCAAAGTGACGGCAATCACTTTGATATCCAAAACGGCATGGGTAAATTGCACCAAACCCCCCTGTATTATACTAAATCTGCGCGTTATCCCCCTCTAATTTAAAAAATGCGTCAAACCCCCTTGTAATGTACTTTTGCATGCGCAAAACACCCTAAACCGTCTAAGATGACGGGAGTGGTGTGCACGCGCGTGCTGTGCGACTTTTTCTTCATTTTTTCACCCTAAAGTTGCAGAATTTACCTTTTTACCTTTAAAATCACCCATTTAAATGCTGAATGGTCTTCTTCCCCACATTTGGTCTTCTTTCCCACATTTCACCCTAAATTCGCACAAAACAAGTTGAAGAAGTTACGTCTTCTTCATTTTTTTTTTTGTTTTTTTTTTTCAAGAGTTAGAAATGATTTTTGTTTCATTTCTAAACAGAGTAGTTTCCCATTCTGAAATGGTTTTTTTTTTT